CCTTGTTATGGAGAGATCTCACTAGCTCTTCCTTTCTCTTGGTTTGCTTGATTTTTTCTCTACTCTTTAAACAAATGAACCAAAAGACCTCAATATTCAAATATACATAAAATCTCACAAAGCTTCACATCCAAAGCAAGAATCCTTACCTTAGGATGCCTTAGATTGATTTTCTACCTCAAAACACTCCAAAAGCCCTCTAAAAATCCTTGAACAAATGAAAGAGAAATTGAGAGGAAGTAAGAAAGGAGAGTGGCGATGGAGAAGAAGAATGAAGTGTTTGCAATGACTTAATTCCTTTTAATGCAATTTATACACAAGCATTCCCATTTTGCCCTTACTCTTCCTTGGGAATTCCATCTATATCCTTTGATTCATTACAAACACACCCCCATATCAACATATTCTCCATGAAAATTCCTTATATTGTACTCCCTACTTTTCCTACTAATTAGGGGTAGAATGGTCAAATTGCCCTTAGGGAAGAAAATATCTAAAACTTAACAAACATTTTTGGTCAACCCGTCGCCACGGCAAAAAAGATTCTGTCGCCGCGGCGAAACTATCCAGCAGTTTCCCGTGGCTTCAACACCTCTTCGCCGCGGCGAAGATTCTTCTTCGCCCCGGCGAAGCCTGGAACACTTAACTTCTTCTATTTCAACCAATTTTAGGGCAAGTATTCAACATACCACTCAATCAAAGGTCAACCAAACAATAATACTAATAAACCAACTCAAATAAGAGCAAAGGAAGAAACATTAACTACGTACCTCAAGTGGGGTGTTACTTACCCTCATGGATTTCTAATAGTCCTAGGATTATACTGTTTTATTTATGCTTTTTGGCTTGATTTTAGATACTTTCTTCTTAAGTTTGTGCCTGAATTGCTACTTAATTTCATATATTTTACGTTTCAGGCAAAAACGTGCAGTTAGAGCAAAACTGAGTGAATTGAGTTTTTGGACCAAGAATCAAGAGAATTTCAAGATTCGGGAAAGTTCTGATGCGGATTCGAAGCACTATGAAGCTTGTTCCTATTGTAGATCACTAAGATTGAAGATTCAAGTAAGGAAGCAAGCGGAGGGAAGATTCATAATTTCAGAAAAGTTTGCCGTGGTGAAGTTTATTCTTCACCGCGGCGAGATAGTCTCGGGTCAGATTGTTCAATAAAATCCAACTCGATGCCACGGCGAAGCTTATTCTTCGTCGTGGCAAAGTCTACAACTTTTCAGTTATTAAAACTGTGCGTTTTAATTGTATTAAAGGAGTCTTAGGGTTTTGGGGTCGACTACATAAGTGGGACTTGTTTATTTTAAAACGAGGTTCGACACTTTTTTGGAAAAGGAGGAGAAAAATTGGAGATTGGAAGCCTTCGGGTTCATCAAATAGGGAAGATTTTACTCTCTTTTCGTTTTTCCAGCATGTTGAACTTTGTTTCTATAGTTTTTCTTTTTATTTGCTTTATTTTTAGTATGAACTAACTTACTTTAGGTTAGGGTTTTGATGTAATTGGGATTTTAATGTCTAATCTATAAATTGATGTTGATTTTACATTCTATTGCTTGGATTATGTATTTACTCTTATTCTAATTACAACCAATTATTGAGCATGATGAGACTGAGAAGCGATTCATGTATTAGCCTCTTACGGTAAATACCATTGATTGATTGAATGCTAGAGATAGGTTTGGAGATCCATGAAATCAATTTAGGATTCCACTTAGCTTAACGGACTTGGAACTATTAACCTTCATTTGTGGGTGCGGAAGCTTAATAGGGATGAGTAGGAAAATATAGCCTGAGAAGGTATGTTTTACAACTTAGGGTGTCCCATTTATGATCCTTGCATGTGAACTTAGAAGCAACAGAAATCGTAGATTAAACCAGAAAATCCTAGTGAAGTCAAAACCCTAACCGCTTTGTCTTAATTGATATTTTTCTTGAATTGATTTTGCCTTCATTAGTTAGCTTTTAAATTACGTTGTGGATTTTGTTTTAAACTTCAGCTTGATTGTCTCCTGCAAATCCAAACATTATTCGTTTGCTCCAACTTGATACAAATTAGGAAAATTAGCACTTGACACGCAATCCTCATGGGAACAATACTCTATTCATCACTTTATTACTTTTTACGACTAGTGCACTTGCTACACTTTGCATGTCGTGAAAACATGCATCAAGTTTGTAATGCCCACATTGAGGTACGTAGCTTGATCTTGCTTGTTTGCCCTTAGTTATGTTTCTATGCCCTTTAGTTTTGCTTGGTTACCCTTAGTGTTGCTTGCTTTAAGGTGAAAGGTTGAAAATTTGGGAAGTGTAGACTTCGCCACGGCCAAGGAAGTTGGTCCCCGCGGCAACGTATGCCTTGGAATTTTTCACCGAGGCAACGAGCTAGCTGGAATTCTTGAGGAAATTTTAGAGAAATCTTCCTTAGGGGCAAAGTGACCATTCTACCCCTAATTACTTGTAAATGTGGGGAGTGGAAAATAAGGAAATTTGATGGAGAATGTAATGAAGGTAAGGGCATTAGTGTAAATGACTAAGGGATAAAGATGGAATTTTCTATAAAGTGTAAGGGCAAAATGGGAAAGAATGCATATTATATGAGATATTAAGGGTTCAAGCACAAAGACCCTATCATTCTCTACACTCCACATGCCACTTCCACTCTCAATTTCTCTCATCTCTTCATCAAATTTCCAAGGGATTTTAGAGGGCTTTTGGTTGGATTTTGGTAGAGATTTGATCCTAAGCACCCAAAGGTAAGAATTCTTGCAATAGTTGTGGGATTAATTTTTAAAAGTGTTGAATTCTTATAGTGTTTATGCTTAGGATTTTAGAGAAAGAAAAAGTCTACTAAAGAAAGAGAGATTCTAGTGGAATTACTGAAGCACAAGGTAAGTAAATCCAACCCAAGTTATGATTTGAGAAATCAAGTGTGTAGAGATTTTACATATATGTATATGCTTATGGTTTTGAGAATTATTGATGAGATTGATGAATTTGATGATTATTGATGAGTAGAATTTCTCCATGAGAAGCGGTTTTGGTGTATGATGATTAATTGAAGTTTGGTTAAAGTTAGAAAGAGTTGAGTAGAAGTTTTGGGAGTGTATTGTTTTGGACAGGTTTAGTAATTGTTTAAGGGAGTTTTACTCCAAATATTGGTGGCTTGAGAAAGAAATAGAATTGTAGCCAAATTAAAGTTTGATTATGCATGCAATATGCTTGATGAAATGTCCAAGAGAAGTGTATGCATGAGTTTTATTCATTTATGAATTAACATGAGTTTGTATATGGTAGAGAGAAACTTATTTTTACGCTACATGGCATCCTTGCATTTAAACATTTGCATTTATAAAGAATAATGAGCATGAGATATATATATATATACATATGTATATATATATATACATATGTATATATATATATACATATGTATATATATTCGAGAACTTAAAGAATAAAGAGAAAGGGAGAAAAGTTAGTAAAGAATGCTCTAAAAGAAGAAAAGAACATGTTGTTGCGATGGAGAACCCGTGAGTGACAAGAAGAATTTCCCTGCATGCACGCCGCCTTCAGTGAACGGCCTAAGAATAAGAAGAAGAATTGGTATAGCCCGTAAGAGTGCATGTGGATGAGGGCTGTACCCAAGAAAGAAGAATACACTCACACGGCCAAGGTTCCGAATCCATGCCTCAACCAAGTCCGATCAGCAAACAATAAGAAATAATGAGCAAGAAAAGTAAAAGAATAAGAAAGAAAGAATAAGAATAAGAAAGAATAAAAATAAGAAAGCATAAGAGAAGAAAAGAAAGAAGAGTAAGAAGAGAAAACAGAAAAGAAAATGTGCACTTCTTGCATTTGTGCATGTGCATCACACTTATGCATGGTATTATGCCTACTACCATGAGTAGTGAGAAATTAGAAAGAAAGAAAGAAGAAGTATTGAGAAATTAGAAAGAAAGAAAGAAAGAACATAGAGATAAGAATAGAGAAAAATAGGGAAAGAACAAAGAAGAATAATTTAAGGAAAGAAATTAGAATGTGAGCAATGGAGAGAAAAGGCTAGTATAGCGGATTTACTTACTGAGCAATTAGTGCTCACTCCGTTGATTTCTTTGTTTTTGCGGGAAATAGATGAGAAGCGGTCGGATGGACGTCGAGAGTCAGAGGGAATTGGCACCATTGTCTACTATTTTTGAGCTTATGTACATGAGACTTTTATTAATGTAAAGAATTTGATATATAAAGTAAAGAAATTTTCGGGCCCATTATCTCTTACTTACATGTTTATGTGTTTTTAAAGTATTATATTTCCCAAGTATATAAGTTAGAATGAGTCATCACAAAGTTTTTGGTGCCGTTGCCAAGGATTGATTTTGTGTTAATATTGAATTTTTCTAGTTTTAGCTAGATTGAGTCTAATTTTAGTTTTAATTGTTTCTAGTTTATTTTTGCTATTTCTTTTCTATTCGTGGGTGATTTCATGCTCTCTTTCTGCCTTTGTAGTTTATGCGAAGAGCTAGACATCATCCAGTGGTTCCCATTGATCCAAAGATTGAAAGAACCACAAGAAGACTTATTAGAGAGAGAAGAGAACGAGAGGCAATAGTCATTGAGATGGCTTAAACCAGAACTTTAAGGGAATTCTCAGTACCCTCCACTGATGGTAGTGGTCCAAGTATCACTAGACCACCGGTGCAAGCCAACAATTTTGAAATAAACTAGAAATCATCCAAATGATCTAACAGTCGGTACAATTCAGGGGAGATCTAAAGGAATATCCAAATTCACACATTGCAAACTTCTTAGAGATCTGCGACACATTCAAGTCAAATGGAGTGTTAGATGACACCATCAGATTAAGATTATTTCCTTTTTCATTAAGGGATAAAGTAAAGGGATGGTTAATGGCACTACCAGCAGAAACAATCACAACCTAAAATGAATTGGCATAAAAGTTCGTGACTAAATATTTCCCTCCAGCGAAATCTGCGAAGATGAGAAATGATATCACATCATTTCTCCAGGAAGAGAACGAGTCACTTTATGAAGCATGGGAGAGATATAAAGAATTGTTGAGAAAGTGTCCACACCATGGGTTGCCTGTTTGGATGCAAGTCCAAACTTTCTATAATGGGTTGCTAACAAATGTGCAAACAATGGTGGATCCAGCAACTAGAAGAGCATTGCAAAACAAGACACTCGAAGAGGCATATGAGTTACTTGAAGTCCTAGCAAGTAACAACTACCAAAGACCCAATGAAAGATTTCATCTGAAGAAGTCTCTGGGTATTCATGAAGTTGATGCTTACATGGCCATTTCAGCCCAACTGACAACACTTCAGAAACAATTAGGAGGTATGCAAGTAAATTCAGTTCAAACACCTCAAGTAACATGTGATTTTTGTGCAGGTAACCATGCGAGCATTGAATGCCAAGTGAGGACTACTTTTGCTTCAGCATCTTCGTCATCAGAACAAGTCAACTATTTGGCTAGGAATCAGAGACAACTGAACAATCCTTTCTCCAACACATACAATCCTGGTTGGAGAAATCATCCAAACTTGTCTTGGGGCAATCAGAATCATCAGAATAACCAATGGAATCAAAGAACAGTGCCAAACAATCAAGTGGGGGTGAATAATCAACCAGGGGATCAAAGAGTTTCAAAGTTGGAGGATATGTTCAGAAAGTTCATGCAAGAGACCATAGGTTTTATGAGTGAGACGAGGGCAAATTTCACAAACCAAGGGGCGTCCATTCGAAACCTGGAAGTACAAATGGGGCAAATAATCGAAAAGCTAAATGAGTGACCTCAAGGTTCCCTACCAAGTAACAGAGTGACAAATCCATGTGAACAAGCAAATGCAATAACTTTATAGAGTGGAACAGTCTTGGAAGAGGTTGACCAAAGAGGAAAAGAAGAGAGCCCACCAAAAGAAAGGGAAGATTCTAATGAAGAAGTCGAAGAAGAAATCATTATTGAGGAAGAGTCGAAGAATCTCTGAGAAGAAGAACCAAAGATGGAAGAGATGCCAAAATAGAAGAAGGACAAAGTACCATTTCCTGAGATACCACTAGAGTTGGCACATCACACCCCTCCTATGCCTTTTCCTTAAAGGCTCGGAAAGAAAAATCAGGATAAGCAGTTCACGAAATTCATTGAGGTATTTAAAAAACTGCATATTAACATTCCTTTTACAGATGCCTTGCAGCAGATGCCGAGCTACGCTAAGTTCCTTAAGGACATTCTAGCAAACAAGAGAAAGTTGGAAGAGAAGGAAACAGTGATGCTTGTGGAGGAATTTAGTGCCATCCTATAGAAGAAGCTACCGCAAACACTCAAGGATCCAAGTAGTTTTACTATCCCTTGTGTTATAGGAAATATTGCATTTGATAAAGTTTTGTGTTTAGGTGCAAGTATTAATCTAATGCCTTTTTCTGTTTTCAAGAGATTAGGGATTGGTGAAGTGAAACCTACAACTGTATCGTTGTAGGTTACAGATCGATCCATTAAGCATCCAAGGGGCATTGTTGAAGATGTGCTAGTTAAGGTGGACAAAGTCATTTTTTCGGCAGACTTTGTTGTGTTGGATATGGAAGAAGACCGGGAAATTCCTCTCATTTTGGGACAACCATTTCTTGCTACCAGGAGAGCCTTAATTGATGTACAAGGAGGGAAGTTGATCCTAAGGGTCCAAGATGAAACGGTGACATTTAATGTATTCGAGGCAATGAAATTTCCATCAAAATCAGAATCAGATTCATGTTTTAGTGTGGATTTGGTGGATAGACTTGTAGTGGATACGATCAAAGAGAACACCCCTCATCTACATTTAGAAGCTTACATTGCCCAATCCAAAACAACTTATGTGGAAGAGTCAAACAAGAATGAGTGTGCTAGGTTGTTGGAAGCACTCCAACCGATAGACACAAACCAAGATCCAAAATTTGAAGAGTTTGACATAGAAAAAGAGAAGGAAAAGGCAAAAACCGAGGAACCTCCTAAGCTTGAACTGAAGCCTTTACCATCTCACCTTAAATATGTGTATCTTGGTGAATCAGAAAGCTTTCCAGTAATCATCAATGCAAAGCTGAGTAAATAGGAAGAGAGATTGGTTCGAGTATTACGAGAGCATAAATCAGCCATTGGATGGACCATTTCCGACATTAAAGGCATTTCTCCGTCTCTTTGTATGCACAAGATACTTATGGAAGATGATTTCAAGCCTAGAGTATAACCACAACGGAGATTGAATCCTTCTATGAAGGAAGAGGTGAGAAAGGAAGTGGTAAAACTCTTAGATGCAGGCATCATCTACCCTATTTCAGATAGTCCTTGGGTAAGCCCGGTGCAAGTGGTTCCAAAAAAAGGTGGTATCATGATAATAAAGAATGAGAGCAATGAATTGATACCGACTAGGACAATCACGGGTTGGAGGGTGTGTATCGACTATCGACAGCTGAATGAAGCAACAAGAAATGATCATTTTCCACTTCCTTTCATTAATCAAATATTGGAAAGACTTGCGGGACATGTTTATTATTGTTTCTTAGATGGCTATTCAGGCTATAATTAGATTTCCATTACCCCTAAAGATCAAGAGAATATGACATTCACTTGTCCTTATGGTACCTTTGCTTATAGAAGGATGCCTTTTGGGTTGTGCAATGCACCGGCCACATTCCAGCGATGCATGATGTCGATTTTCGGTGACATAGTGGAGCGGTTCATAGAAGTCTTCATGGATGATTTCTCTGTTTTCGGTTCTTCTTTTGATAATTGCCTATCTAACCTTTCTTTTGTTTTGCAGTGATGTCAAGATACAAATTTGGTGCTCAATTGGAGAAGTGTCACTTCATGGTTCAGGAAGGAATAGTACTTGGTCACCGAATTTCAAAGGATGGCATTGAAGTGGATCAAGCAAAAATGGAAGTGATTAAGAAGCTGCAACCACCTGCAAACGTCAAGGCATTCCAAAGTTTCTTGGGGCATGCGGGGTTCTATAGAAGATTTATAAAGGATTTCTCTAAAATCTCTAAACCTCTCTGCAATTTGTTGATAAAAGATGCTTTTGATTTTAATGATGAATGCATGCATGCTTTTCAAACTCTTAAGAAATTATTAGTGTCGGCACCCATTATTGTAGTTCCCAATTGGGAACTCCCATTTGAATTGATGTGTGATGCTAGTGATTTTGCATTAGGAGTGGTTTTAGGACAGCAAAAGAATAAGGTTTTGCATGTAATTCAGTATGCTAGCAGGACACTAACTGATGCACAGTTGAATTACACCACTGCTAAAAAAGAGCTTTTAGCCGTCATTTTTGCATTTGAAAAATTTTGGTCTTATTTGCTAGGTGCTAAGGCGATTGTCTACATGGACCATTCAGCACTCAAGCACCTGCTAGCAAAACAAGAAGCAAAACCCAAGCTGATTAGATGGATCCTACTGCTGTAAGAGTTTGAATTAGAAATCCAAGACAAAAAGGGGTTAGAAAATGTGGTGGCCAACCATCTATCAAGGATTGAACGACCAAACCAAGGAAGCGAAGAGGAAACTCAAATCAAGGAGACATTCCCGGATGAGAAACTAATGAGAGTTGAAGAAGCACCTTGGTATGCAGATATTGCAAATTACTTATCATTGAGAGTGCTTCCAAATGGCATGACTTTCCAGCAGAAGAGGAAGTTTTTCTCTGACTTGAAGTTCTAATTCTGGGAAGAACCATTTTTGTATAAACACTGTGCAGATCAGATGATATGAAGGTGTGTCCCAAAAGAGGAGATGGAGAGGCATTGCATGAGAATGAAGTTGGTGGTCACTTTGGAGGGACTAGAACAGCAGCCAAGGTCCTTCAATCTGGATTTTATTGGCCGACTTTATTCAAGGATGCTTTTCGGATGGTTCAGGAATGTGATCAATGTCAATGGAGTGGAAATATTTCAAGGAGAGATGAGATGCGGTTAAGTAACATTCTTGTTGTTGAACTTTTCGATGTATGGGGGATTGACTTCATGGGCCCTTTCCCGAATTCATATGGAAATGTGTACATCTTGGTGGCTGTTGACTATGTGTCAAAATGGGTGGAAGCATTGGCATTACCATCCAATGATGCCAAAGTGGTGGTTAACTTTGTGAGGAAGAACATTTTCTCAAGATTTGGAGTACCACGGGCAATCATCAATGATGGGGGATCTCATTTTTGCTATAGGCAATTTGATGCTCTCCTAGGAAAATATGGAGTGAAACATAGAGTGGCTACACCATAACATCCTCAGACTAGTGGGCAAGTGGAACTGTCAAACAGAGAGCTGAAAATAATTTTAGAGAAGACAATTAATGCGTCCAGGAAGGACTAGTCACGGAAGTTAGATGATGCATTATGGGCATACTGCACTACATTCAAGACTCCAATTGGTATGTCTCCGTTCCGATTGGTACATGGGAAGGCACGTCACTTGCCGGTGGAACTCAAGCATAAGGCATATTGGGCAGTCAAGTAGCTAAACATGGATTTACAAGCTGCTGGGCATGAAAGGATGCTGAAATTGAACGAACTTGACGAGTTTCGTCATGCAGCTTATGAGAATGCCCTAATTTACAAAGAAAAGACCAAGATGTGGCACGACAAGCATATCACGAAGAAAAACTTTGAAGTGGGTCAGAAAGTTTTGTTGTACAATGTTAGAGTAGATGCCCTAGAGCCAATCAATTATTGTAGAATTGACTCTTTGTAACAATGTTCGTTAATCAATAAAAAGCATTTTATTCTGTATCGTGTAAATCATTATTATTACAATATGTATTGATATATGTCCTTAGAATGGTAGAACCATGACAAGGGTATCAAGTGTTTCAAATCTTGATAATGAGAACCCTATGAGCGCATATGGTGGCCATTCTAGAAACGTCTATAGCCCCAATATTATTCTGAAGTAAGGGCACAGATAATACGGTAAGGCTATCATAGTGTTGAACGACCCTGTCGAAAGGCAGTGACTGATCTCACTTATCAAGGTTGTTTGGTGACAACCTGGTGCAATACATGGGTGCTTGCTATAGGCGAATACACCACAGCAAGTTCACTGGACTGACCC